ATGGCTGAAGACATGCCAGAGGTGCACTTAAATCCCATGAAAGTGCTCAATGAATTGGAAGAATTGTTGCCATCTGATGCTGTGCTGATTGGTGATGGTGGTGACTTTGTAGCAACTGCTGCTTATATCCTGAGGTTAGTTGTTCACATTATAAAATAAATATGGTCAGTTTTATTTTGTTTTCTCAAATAGGAAAATATGTAAAAATGAGAGTTTGGTCAATCCAGGTGGGCCCCACTTAGCAGGTTAGGTACCAGGCTGCTGCTGAAAAGCGAAAATTGACAAAGTGAAATATAGCCCTTCCCCCCCTTTTTTTTTTTTTTAACTTTCAAATGTATATAAAAGCCTGATAACACGTTTACACTGTAGTGTAGGCACACCTCTGGAAAAAGTGATGGGAGTGAGTGATGATGAAAGTGTTTCTTCTTTTTCAGGTCACCCCACCTTGGTGGGAAGTAGCTGATGTGTTAATAAAAAAAATAATAATAAATATTAATGAGCAATAGAGCTAGTCCTAAAACAACAATAAATAAGTAAAATGCATATACAGTGCACATCTATCTTGCCTTACAATATTTTCCTTTGCTAGCCTCGAATTTATTTTCAGTATAGTTACCTTGCCTCTCTCAACCTTTGTAGAATTGAAGAGACTTAGGGCCTTCTCCTGGATAATGGCTTGGCTTAAAGGTATGGTGTAACTGGTGTGATCTTCAGTCCTCGCCATTAATATTTTTTTTTCCATGTCAGCACTATGGTTATCACATTTTCTTATAACTTTAGTGTTCACTGGTGTTGCAATTTTAATTTCCTTTCACTTTCTCTTTAGAGTTCTCATTTATACTAACTGTTTGACAAGCCAAACTGAGTCTGTCCTGTTTCAAACAGACGTACCTTGCTCGCCGAGTTTCATCATTTCTAGCTTGGCACTTAAAGTAAGAGGCTTACGACTCCTCTTTTTATCACAACTACCCTTAGATGCCATTGTAATTAACAGTGTACAGTGGACCCCCGGTTAACGATTTTAATCCGTGCAAGAGGGGTAATTGTTATGCGAAATAATCGTTATGTGAATGAATTTTCCCCATAAGAAATAATGGAAATAAAATTAATCTGTGCAAGACACCCAAAAGTATGAAAAAAAATTTTTTTTACCACATGAAATGTTAATTTTAATACACACAAACTGAAAAAGGCATGCACACTTACATGACACTTACTTTTATTGAAGATCTGGTGATGATTGATGGGATGGGAGGAGGGGAGAGAGAGTGTTAGTGTTTAGAAGGGGAATCCCCTTCCATTAGGACTTGAGGTAGCAAGTCCTTTTCTGGGGTTACTTCCCTTCTTCTTTTAATGCCACTAGGGCCAGCTTCAGAGTCACTGGACTTCTTTCGCACAAGATATCTGTCCATAGTGGCCTGTACCTCTCGTTCCTTTATGACTTGCCTAAAGTGTTTCACAAACATTGTCAGTGTAATAATCACCAGCACGGCTTGCAATAGCTGTGTGAGGGTGATTTTCATCCATGAAGGTTTGCACTTCAAGCCACTTGCACAGATTTCCTTAATCTTTGTAGTAGGCAACTTCTTCAATTTCTCTCTCCCCTCCTCTGAACCAGTTTCCCCAGGTCTGGCCTCTTGCTCTTGAAGTTGATCTATCAGCTCATCAGTGGTTAGTTCTTCATTGTCCTCCTCCACCAACTCTTCCACATCCTCCCCACTAACCTCCAACCCCAAGGACTTTCCCAATGCCACAATGGATTCCTCAAGTGGCATAATCATCTCAGGGTTAGCCTCAAACCCTTCAAAACCCTTTTGTCTACACATTCTGGCCACAGTTTCTTCCAAGCAGAGTTCAAGGTCTTCTTAGTCACTCCCTCCCAAGCCTTACCTATAAGGTTTACACAATTGAGGATATTAAAGTGATCTCTCCAAAACTCTCTTAGTCAGTTGAGTTTCTGAGGTCACTACAAAGCACCTTTCAAACAGAGCTTTTGTGTACAGTTTTTTGAAGTTTGCAATAACCTGCTGGTCCATGGGCTGCAGGAGAGGAGTGGTATTAGGAGGCAAAAACTTCACCTTAATGAAGCTCATGTCCCCTTAAAGTCGCTCTGCCACGTCTGTAGGATGACCAGGGGCATTGTCTAACACCAGGCACTTAAGTTCTAATTTCTTTTCAGTTAGGTAATCTTTCACATTGGGGGCAAATGCATGGTGTAACCAGTTATAGAAAAAGTCCCTAGTGACCCATGCCTTACTGTTTGCCCTCCACAGCACACAAATTATCCTTGAGGACATTCTTTTGCCTGAACGCTCTGGGAGTTTCAGAGTGATACACTAATAAAGGCTTCACTTTGCAATCACCAGTAGCATTGGCACACATGAGAAGAGTAAGCCTGTCTTTCATAGGCTTATGTCCTGGGAGTGCCTTTTCCTCCTGAGTAATGTAGGTCCTGCTTGGCATTTTCTTCCAGAACAGGCCTGTTTCATTACAATTAAACACTTGTTCAGGTTTCAGTCCTTCACTGTCTATGTACTCCTTGAATTCCTGCACATATTTTTCAGCCGCTTTGTGGTCCGAACAGGCAGCCTCACCATGCCTTATCACACTATGGATGCCACTACGCTTCTTAAATCTCTCAAACCAACCTTTGCTGGCCTTAAATTCACTCACATCATCACTAGTTGCAGGCATTTTTTTAATTAAATCCTCATGCAACTTCCTAGCCTTTTTACATATGATCGCTTGAGAGACGCTATCTCCTGCTAGCTGTTTTTCATTTATCCACACCAATAAGAGTCTCTCAACATCTTCCATCACTTGCGATCTTTGTTTCGAAAACACAGTTAAACCTTTGGCAAGAACAGCTTCCTTGATTGTCTTTCTGGTGCCCACAATAGTAGCGATGGTTGATTGGGGTTTCTTGTACAGCTTGACTAGGTCGGCTATACGCACTCCACTTTCATACTTATCAATGATCTCTTTCTTCATTTCTATTGTAATTCTCACCCTTATTGGTGTAGGGTTGGCACTAGAAGCTTTCTTGGGGCCCATGGTCACTTATTTTCCAGAAACAGCACCGAAAACACTGTAATAATACGAAATATTCCGAGTGTATGCTTGGATGTTACCGCGGAGGCTGGCTGGTAAACAATGGCACGGGCGGCACATGTGAGGCTGGCTGAGGGCGCAGATTGGACGCGTCTCGGACGAAAATCGGTGAGCGGGTTTTTAATCGGTATGCGCGGCAAAAATTTTGCGATTAAAGCAAGCGGTATGCGGATTAATCGCTATGTGATGCCATCGTTATGCGGGGGTCCACTGTATATAACATACACAATAACTTTAAAACGTTTGAAGCTTTGAAAAGTTTCCAGACAGAATCCAGTGAGATGCAAAGGACACAGGCTGTAAACAAACTCAAGAAAATGGCACATGGACACCCAGCTGCTGAGCGCATCATGCCGAAAACTGCCAAAATAGCGAAACTGGTACTGAATAAATGAAGAATGAGTATAATTGAAAACTGCCGCATTAGTGGGGTCCCCTGTGCATACCAGTGTTTATACACTGGTGTAAAAGGAGCAAAAAAATGTGATTAAAATTTTTGTGAGATGTTGATTTAAGTAATGGAAGGACACTTTGTAGAATAATGTATTTAGGCTGGATGATAGTCTAATATGTCTTGCTGCAATGGAAAGGTGGATTTTTTTTTCTATATCAGTCAACTCCCAAAGTAGGGTGAGGGTGATTGAAAAAAAAATAAAAGGAATCTTTCAACATCATTGATTCAATACCTGTTTTGCCAGAGGTGCATAGGCATCACATTTCAAATGACACTCCGAACTGAAAAATCCCCATCCCTCCTCCCTCCCTCAGAGTGCAGGTACTGTACATCCCACCTCAAGGACTAAGTTCCAGCTAATCACTTTCCTCCTGAATTCCTTCATAACTGTTACCTTGCATGCTTCAGCACATAAAATCCCTAAAACCATTTCTCACTTGCTCTGATCTAATACTTTCACATGCTTGCTGGATGCTCAAGCTCTTAACACTTAACTGCTTTTAGATTCCCAACAATCCTTCCTAGAACAGCTGCCTCCATCTTAAATTTATATACCCTCTAGGTCATCCTACTGTACAGTAGGGCCCTAACTCACAACATTAATGCATTCTAGAAAATTTGTCATAAATTGTTTAGTACTTTAAACCGATTTTCTCGTAAAAAAAATGTAAAAAAGAATGAGAGGATTTGTGTAAGAGTAGGTGGGTGGTGTGGGTGAGGGGGCAAGTGGTGTGGGTGTGAGAGGATGAGCAAGTGGGTGCGAGTCACCCACACCGATTATTAGAATTATAATAACTTGTGAAAACTCAGTCCTTCTAACAAGCCTGGTTTTCCATGTATTTGCTTGCGACTCTGTCATTGCCCCATGATAATCTTCCCCAATTTTGGTTAAGTTAAGTGTTGCATGTAACTCCCTCAAGAGAGGATGTAATAGTAGCTTTGTTAATGAAGGAAACTAGTGTTCCAGTGACAGCCCCATGGAAGGGCTTCAGTCCTCTGTAATCTCTATTAGCTTTCCCCCTCTTTTTGCCAGATTATCATTATAATTAAAACTAAGTGCTAAACCACCAGGGTCATACAGCGTTCCTCTTCCCCAGAACCACCCTAAATAAAAAAAATAATAATTTTAAAACTAGTCCTCTAGCTCTTCCTTTCCTTCAAGCCAAATTGTTGATACTGAGGTGTTTGTTTAGGAAAATGCATAAAGTAATTCATTCAGCAACACTAAATTTTTGTTTGTGTGGTCAGGTTTCTTATAGTATCTCCAACAAAACAATGTTCTAATCATGTCATAAGGAATTGTGTAGAGCTCCCATTTCTGATACCTAACACTAGGTGTCAGCATATCAAAGCAGAGAGAATATTCCTTCAACTCAGTGCTTGGTTGACAAAACACTGCTCATAGGCTGCAAACATTCTTAAAATTTTTTTTTACTTTATTTCCTTTCTCTTGCTTTGTCACTGCATAAGAGATAAGATAGAGGTAGGGAGAAGTGTTTAATGTAAATGTCTAACAGGTAGTAGGTTGGTAGACAGCAACCACCCAGGGAGGTACTACCGTTCTGCCAAGTGAATGTAAAACGAAAGCCTGTAATTGTTTTACATGATGGTAGGATTGCTGGTGTCTTGTCTGTCTCATAAATATGCAAGATTACAGACACGTCTTGCTACTTCTACTTACACTTAGGTCACACTAAACATACATGTACACGTTTATTTATACACACTCAGATGAGTTTTCTTTGATTTTATCTTAGAACAAGAACTAAGATAAAATCAAAGAAAACTCATCTGAGTGTGTATAAATAAATTGTACATGTATGTTTCGTGTGACCTAAGTGTAAGTAGAAGTAGCAAGACGTGCCTGTAATCTTGCATATTTATGAGACAGACAAGACACCAGCAATCCTACCTTTTATATCCATGGGGAAGTGGAATAAGAATCTTTCCTCCGTAAGCCATGCGTGTTGTAAAAGTCAACTAAAATGCCGGGAACAATGGGCTAGTAACCCCTTTTCCTGTAAAAATTACTAAAAAGAAAATTGTCAAAGTGGGAAGTTTGAATGTGCGTAGATGCTGTGCAAATGATAAGAAAGAATTGATTGTAGATGTTATGAATGAGAAGCTAGATATCCTGGCTTTAAGTGAAACAAAGCTGAAAGGGGTGGGTGAGTTTCAGTGGAGAGGAATAAATGGGATAAGGTCAGGGGTTTCTAATAGTTAGAGCTAAAGGAGTAGCAATAATGTTGAAGGATAAGCTATGGCAGGAAAAGAGGGACTATAAATGTATTAATTCAAGGATTATGTGGAGTAAAATAAAGGCTGGATGTGAAGTGGGTTATAGTAAACGTTTATGCACTTGGGGAAGAGAAAAGTATAGAGAATAGAGAGATTTTGGGAAATGTTCAGTAATTGCATGGGGAGTTTTGAACCAAGTGTGAGAGTACTTGTGGTTGGGGATTTCAATGCTGAAGTGGGAAAAAATGTTGTGGAGGGAGTACAGTGGAACCTCAAAAATCGAACTGCTCCCAACACAACCAATTATGTAAGTGTATTTTTGTAAGTGCTTTTATAAGTGTATTTTTGAGGGTCTGAAATGGACTAATCTAATTTACATTATTCCTGATGGGAATAAATTCATTCGGTAAAGGCACTCGAACATAGTAGGTAAATTTGGGGTGCCAGGGGTAAATGAAAATGGGGAGCCTTTAATTGAGCTATGTGTAGAAAGAAATTTGGTAATAAGTAATACATATTTTATGAAAAAGAGGATAAATAAATATACAAGGTATGATGTAGCACGTAATGAAAGTAGTTTTAGATTATGTATTGGTGGATAAAAGGTTGATGGGTACGCTCCAGGATGTACATGTTTATAGAGGGGCAACTGATATATCAGATCATTGTTTAGTTGTAGCTACAGTTAGAGTAAGAGGTAGATGGGATGAGAGGAAAATGGCAACAAGAGGGAGGTGAAAGTGTATAAACTAAGGGAGGAGGAAGTTCGGGTGAAATATAAGCGACTATTGGCAGAAAGGTGGGCTGGTGCAGGTATGAGTAGTGGGGGGTTGAAGAGGGTTGGAATAGTTTTAAAAATGCAGTATTAGAATGTGGGGCAGAAGTTTGTGGTTATAGGAAGGTGGGTGCAGGAGGAAAGAGGAGTGATTGGTGGAATGATGAAGTAAAGGGTGTGATAAAAGAGAAAAAGGTAGCTTATGAGAGGCATTTACAAAGCAGAAGTGTTATAAGAAGAGTAGAGTATATGGAGAGGAAAAGAAAGTGGAAGAGTGGTGAGAGTGCAAAAGGAGAGTGGATGATAGTGGGAGAGGTACTGTCAAGGAATTTTAATGAAAATAAAAAAAAAATTTGGAGTTAAACAAGTTAAGAAAGCCTAGGGAACAAATGGATTTATCAGTTAAAAACAGAGAAGGGGAGTTAGTAGACGGGGAGATAGAGGTTTTGGGTAGATGGCGAGAATATTTTGAGGAACTTTTAAATGTCGACGAAGAAAGAGAGGCGGTAATTTCATGCACTGGCCAGGGAGGTATACCATCTTTTAGGAGTGAAGAAGAGCAGGATGTGAGTGTGGGAGAGGTGCATGAGGCATTACGTAGAATGAAAGGGGGTAAAGCAGCTGGAACTGACGGGATCATGACAGAAATGTTAAAAGCAGGGGGAGACAGTGTTGGAGTGGTTAGTATTTTTGTTTAATAAATATGAAAGAGGGGAAGGTACCTAGGGATTGGCGGAGAGCGTGTGTAGTCCCTTTATATAAAGGGAAGGGGGACAAAAGAGATTGTAAAAATTATAGAGGAATAAGTTTACTGAGTATACCAGGAAAAGTGTACAGTAGGGTTATTATTGAAAGAATTAGAGGCAAGACAGAATGTAGAATTGCGGATGAGCAAGGAGGTTTCAGTGGGTAGGGGATGTGTAGATAGTGTTTACATTGGAGCATATATGTGAGCAGTATTTAGATAAAGGTAGGGAAGTTTTTATTGCATTTATGGATTTAGAAAAGGCATATGATAGTGGATAGGGGAGCAATGTGGCAGATGTTGCAAGTATATGGAATAGGTGGTAAGTTACTAAATGCTGTAAAGAGTTTTTATGAGGATAGTGAGACTCAGGTTAGGGTGTGTAGAAGGGAGGGAGACTACTTCCCGGTAAAAGTAGGTCTTAGACACGGATGTGTAACGTCACCATGGTTGTATAATATATTTATAGATGGGGTTGTAAAAGAAGTTAATGCTAGGGTGTTGGGGAGAGGAGTGGGATTAAATTATGGGGAATTAAATACAAATTGGGAAGTGACAGTTACTTTTTGGTGATGATACTGTACTTATGGGAGATTCTAAAGAAAAATTGCAAAGGTTAGTGGACGAATTTGGGAATGTGTGTAAAGGTAGAAAGTTGAAAGTGAACATAGAAAAGAGTAAGGTGATGAGAGTATCAAATGATTTAGATAAAGAAAAATTGGATATCAAATTGGGGAGGAGGAGTATGGAAGAAGTGAATGTTTTCAGATATTTGGGAGTTGATGTCAGCAGATGGATTTATGAAGGATGAGGTTAATCATAGAATTGATGAAAAAAAAGGTGAGTGGTGCATTGAGGTATATGTGGAGGCAAAGAAGGGGATGTATGAAAGTATAGTAGTACCAACACTCTTGTATGGGTGTGAAGCTTGGGTTGTAAATGCTGCAGCAAGGAGGCGGTTGGAGGCAGTGGAGATGTCCTGTCTAAGAGCAATGTGTGGTGTAAGTATTATGCAGAAAATTCAGAGTGTGGAAATTAGGAGAAGGTGTGGAGTTAATAAAAGTATTAGTCAGAGGGCTGAAGAGGGTTTGTTGAGGTGGTTTGGTCATTTAGAGAGAATGGATCAAAGTAGAATGACATGGAGAGCATATAAATCTGTAGGGGTCATCCTCGAAAAGGTTGGAGGGAGGGAGGGGGTGAAGGAGGTGTTGTGGGCGAGGGGTTTGGACTTCCAGCAAGCGTGAGTGAGAGTGTTAGATAGGAGTGAATGAAGACAAATGGTATTTGGGACCTGACGATCTGTTGAAGTGTGAGCAGGGTAATATTTAGCGAAGGGATTCAGGGAAACCGGTTATTTTATATAACCGGACTCGAGTCCTGGAAATGGGAAGTACAATGCCTGCACTCTAAAGGAGGGGTTTGGGATATTGGCAGTTTGGAGAGATATATTGTGTATTTTTATATGTATATACTTCTAAACTGTTGTTCTGAGCACCTCTGCAAAAACAGTCATTATGTGTGAGTGAGGTGAAAGTGTTGAATGATGATGAAAGTATTTTCTTTTCGGGGATTTTCTTTCTCTTTGGGTCACCCTGCCTCGGTGGGAGACAACAGAGTTGTTGGGGAGGGAAAAAAAAAAAGTAACTGTTTTCATGAATGTAGCCTCAGCATTGAGCCAGATGTTCTATATTTGTGAAAACAGTGTGTAATTGATGAAATGTGTGTACTTCCAAATAAAATTTTCTTAATGAGTACAAAGGTACCCACGTTACTTCCAAACAATAGCACTTTCACGAGCAAACTAGATCAGATATTCTACATTTTATTTCAGACCACGTGGTCCATTAATGTGGCTTGATCCAGGTGCATTCGGTACTCTGGGTGTCGGTGGAGGATTTGCTTTAGGTGCCAAGATTTGCCGACCAGAGTCTCAGGTAACTGTTTTTATTAAAATACAGTAATATAGCCCAATTTTAACAAGTATGCTTGTTTGTAATTATAGAACAACCTTTCATGAAATAGTCAAATTTATTAAATTAGCCCCCCCCCTTTTTTTTTTCTATTGCAGTATAATACTTCAATGTTATGATAGTATAATCTTGCACATAGTTTGTAGCTCCTATTAAAGTTTAAAAAAAAAAAAGTTAGAAAAATTAAAATAGGTACTGTATCTTTTTTTTTTATCTTTGCATCTAAACCATCTTCCTATTTGTTTGCTACCTTTGAATGTGGTGCTACTAAAGATGGCTTGAGTGTGATTTTTCTGTAACCATGGTAAAGGATTGTGTTCACCTCTGGTACCCATGGATTGATACATACTCTTGTTTTGTACTTGTAATGGATTGGTCTACTTCATTTAAGAACATTAACTGGAAGGGAAAGGCAGCAGAAACAAATACTTCAGTTGATCTGTAAATTTTCTTTCTTGATGACTTCTTGGATTTTTAACTTCGTAATATTTAAATGAACATGTAAATGATTAAAGTACCATGGCCATTTGGGGAAGGTGATGCATGTGGCTCTTTCTAACAGGCTTAGTCTAGCTAAGGTAACTGCCAAAGTAAATACAGTGGAACCCCGGTTATCGTCTTTGACCCCTTTCAGAGTCGACAGGCCCTCTGAGACTTGTTCTCAGGGTTGCCCAGATTTCAAAAAAAAAAAAAAAAAAAAAAAAAACTGATGAAAAGATAGAGAATCTTTTCCCGATCATAATGACACGAAAAGTATGAAATTTGATGGAAAACTTACGGAATTATGCTCTTGCAAAGTTAGCGGTCTCGACGATGTTTACGCATCGGCAGTTTTGCTCACTTTGAGCCCTATTTTCGGCCAATTCCACTTACTAGTCGACAAAAATCATTAATATTTTGCTAGAACTCTATTTTTTCTATCGAATGAGTGCAAGAAACCACCCATTTACCGATTTCAACTATCCAACAGTGGTCAGAATTTAGCAATTTTGCCAATTTCACACAAATTTCAAAACATGCCGATTTCCAAATAAGGTCCAGAATAAAACAAAGATATTCCTGGCACTAAAATGACATTTCCTCTGTTCATTAGTTACGTCCCAATGCCCCTCTTACATTCTTTTGCTTTCCACTTTGAAATTTTATTCTCACAAAAAATAGAAGATTTACTGTTATGCAGAGTACTGGATTAGTGTAAAAAATGGCATAAATAATATCAGCGCACTTGTGAAGGAATATTAGACTCACCAGTTGGCGTGTATTGGACGCTTAGCATGATTTGTTTACTTTTGAACTTCGGTAAAAATCGAACATTTCTGCTATTTTGAGCTCAATTTCAAGGTACTTTTCATTGTAAAATCAGTCAAAATTATCTCAATTTTTGTAATATGTCTTCCATTCTATAGAATGAGACCAGGAAAACTAGAATACAACAATAAATACCATACGAAAATACAGTGTAAAGTCTGTTTTAATCCAAAAACAGTCAGTTTTTTTTTTTCTCATTATGCACTGTGTGCTGCAGGATTTTTTTTTATACTGCGCACACTGACCACATAGACCCATTCTTTCATATGTAGGCCTACCAGCTTTCTCTCATTAGATTTGAGGGCGCTAGAATTTAGTGTACTAGTACGTCAAAAACCCTGGTGCATAAGCCGTACTAGGATGGCTGAAACCCTGAAAGGGTTAATCCGTTCCAGAAGGTCAGTCAAAATCTGAAATGGACGAAAGCCGAAGTAATATTTCTCATAAGAAATAATGTAAATCCAATTAATCTGTTAGAGATGCCCAAAAATATTAACAAAAAATACATTTTATAGAGAATAACTATAGTTTTACATACAGAAAACCAATGAGAAATAAATATAAATGAATAATTTTAATGGATAAATGAATATGTAACCCACTATTACATACCTTTATTGAAGACACTTGTTGGCATATGGAAGAAGGCGAGGAGGGGAAAGGGAGGAGAGGTTGGGCGGACACATTTGATACGGATGATTTCCAAGCAGAGGTATGAAACCCAGGGCAAAATTTCGCCAAAAAGTGGCCGAAATCCGAATTGTACAACATCTGCACCAGACGAAATCTGGGGTTCCACTGTACAGCAATTTTATCCATATATTTTTTTTAACAGATAGGCTGTATCCCTCTGAGGCAGGGTGACCTAAAGAAAAACAGTTTTTCTTTTTAAATTTAGTAATTTTAGCCATATGTTCACTATATTGAATTCTATTTGTGGTGGTCTGTAATCAAGATCGTAATTATAAATCTGGATTATGAGTTGCAAAGGTTAGTGGATGAGTTTTTGGAGGGTGTGTAAAGGAAGTTGAAAGTGAACATAGATAACAGTAAGATGATGAGGGTATCAAATGAGTTAGGTAAGGAAAAAATTTGATACCAGTTTGGAGAGAGGAAGTATGGAAGAAGTGAATGTTCAGATATTTGGGAATGTACATGTCAGCAGATGGGTTTATGGAAGATGAGGTAAACCACAGAATTGATGAAAGAAAAAAGGTAAATGGTGGAGACAAAGAACATTATCCATAGAGGCAAGAAGGGAATGTATGAGAGTATAGTGGTACCAACACACTATGGGTGTGAAGCATGGGTTGTGAATGCTGCAGCGAGGAAGGAGGCTGGAGGCAGTGGAGATATCATGCCTAAGGGCAGTGTGTGGAAGTTAGGTGGCGTGGAGCTACTGAAAGTATTATTTATACTGAGGTGGGGTTGAGGTGGTTTGGTTATTTAAACACTATGCAGCAAAATAGTGGAGGGAAGTGTAATGGTTAGAAGGTGGGGTAGGGGATGTCCTAGGAAAGGATGGAGGATAAGTGGTTTTGTGTTAGATAGGAGTGAGTGGAGATAAATAGTTTTTGGGGCTTGATGAGCTGTTAGAGTGTGAGCAAGGTAATATTTTGTAAAGGGATTCAGGGAAACTAGTTAGTGGGACTTCAGTCCTGGAGGTGGGAAGTACAGTGCCTGCACTCTTAAAGGAGGGGTTTGGAATACTGTATTTGCTGTTTAGAGCAACATCATGTTAATGGAAATCGTTGATTGCACAGTTTTCAGGAACGTAACGCATGTGAATTACGAATGTCCACCGTTATATACATGTGTATGTAGGTTATTGCTTAGCGACTTAAAGTAGTCAATACCCCCTAGGTCTGGATTATATATGGTGACGGTGCTCTAGGCTACTCCTTAGCTGAATTTGACACATACGCTCGTCACAAGACTCCAGTAATTGCCTTGGTGGGAAATGATGCTGGTTGGACGCAGATTGCACGGGATCAAGTTCCTACTTTTGGATCCAGTGTTGCTTGTGACCTAGCAGTAAGTATTGCTATCATAGTAACCATTATGTGTAAGGTAATTACAGTAAATTTAATATTCATATTTATAGTGGCTTATTAGAATGTATGGTGGTTTGATTTATAGTTCTGGGCAGCTAGAAAGGCTAGCTCTCTTATCTTCAGATCATTTGGTAAAATTAGATATCAGTGTGGGCAAGTAGGCTGCCAACAGCAGCCTCCTTGCCCACCCTGGGTGACCAGGGTGATCAGGCAAGCACCAAACAAGCTTGGCCACAGGCTGGCCTGGAGGAAAAGGAAAATGACTCAAAACCAATCACATGTGTATGATCATCAGAAAAGCTAGTATTTCTGTCTCTTGTTAAAAGATATTTCCTTATTTTACTCCTAAATGGTCTTTGTGCTGTGTATTATTTTTGATTGGCAGTATTTTATACCAGGAGCTTAACACTGCTTGTTTTGGCTGATAGCACCTTGTTAACTTTCATTGTAATTATGCCCACTATTAGTATACCATAAAGCAGGAATTTTTATAATGTTTTAGTTTGCATTAAGGCATTAAAATTCACACACTAAAGAACTTGAGAATTGTGCTGTATGGTTATTTAATAGTTTTAAACAAATGAGTGAATGTTGGCTAAATATAAAATACTGAATATTGTAGTTTGAGTAATAGAATTTAGTTTAGTTCTTTAAATATCTTTTGTTATACCATTTATATCTGAATGTAACCCAACTCCACCTATAGGTAGACTCCTATATTTTACCAAAATATCCTTTTTTGTATATCTCATGGATAAGTCCGCCCAAGTTTTTGAGGGAATTTAAAAGGGGTCATATGGTTCTAATTCAAATTATATTCTAGCCAAACAAGGGTGACCAAATATATTCAGAATTCCCCACAACTTTTTCTGAATTTGATACTATTCATCATGAAGGGTTATGCTCGAGTCTAGATGCTTTTTGATCTCCGTCAGGAGCCTATATGCAGACAAATGTTCCATCTTTATAAGATTGGCATGATGCCCAGTGTCTTATTTTGTCTTCTTACACAGCCTTTATAATGTTTACACATACAGAACGGTAATGGATATTAGTTAAACTAATGGGTTTAATTGTAGCCCCATTGATTACACTCCTTCTCCATATTTGCTTTCTATTGCCTTCCCTTAATTTACCTCCCCTTTCTGTTCATCTTGTGCCTTGCTTTTCCCTCACTCTTTGGGAAGCTATGACAATTCTGTTTGTTCCTTCCCATTTCCATGCACAAAGGCTCGCTTGCCTACTACAACTCCTTCACACTTACTCTTTATTGACCACTTCCATTCTCATGCTATGACAGTGTACAATGATGGTTCTAAACCCCTTGATGTGTTGTGAATGCAGGAATTTCTCTTAAAAGAATCATCCAAGGTAATTTACTGGAATTGGCCAGATTTCACAGCAGAGTTCTATACAATGCTCACTGTTCTTGTATACAGCATTGATGTCTGCCTCATCATTTGTAGTTTTTTCAGACTTCAAAATGTATTGCAGAGTATCCAGAAATTCCCTCCCGTCATCATTCACATACAGCTTTGGTTATTTTGCATTTATGGTGAACTTTTTTTTTTGTCTAAAGTCCCTCAAGTAGTTTGATTGGGACAGAAACAAGCACTCGACCGCTCGGCTAGCTATTTGTCTTCCCAATTTCATCCACAGGGGAATTTCTTTCTTGTACTATTTTTCGGTGGCAACATTGATTTGACTTGGATTGGAAGTAATTGTTTTCTATCAAATCCCTTAAGGTTTCTGGCCATATTTTTCTCATCGCTGCCAGGCTTGGAAGACGAGGCTCTCCTGCTTGTGTATTGGACATGACTTAATTCACAGATTACCACATGAAGTGACTGGCATTGCTATGTGCTGACTTTCAGGTCACACTGTCAGTCCACCACATCTTGATAAATTGTCCTGTGTATCAGCAAGCTTGCAGGATTCACTTTCAGCATCTCCACTGCCCCAACACACTCCAGTTGATGTCCTTGCTGAAAGTCCCACCTTTGACAGAGAGACTCACTTTTTAACAGAAACAAACTTATTGCACCAACATTGATTTTTTTTTTTTCTCTTGCACTCTGCCTCTGACCCCTACCCTCGCACACTTCTGCCCCTCGCTCTCTCCTATCATTCGCACATTCCTTCCTACAGTGCTGTGTAACCTTTCAAATTTAGCACTAAACTTAATGATAAAGATTGAAATAGCATCATTATCTCCTGTTCTCTCATTGCTTTAACTTCAAACAGTACTCCCATGCCATCTATTTAACTTGTGATAATTTTCAAAGCACATGGAAAATTTGTTCTTGGTGCATATTCTCGTTGAGTCATGTTATGCTAGCTGTATCAGGTACAGTACTTAAGAGATAAGCAAATATTGCTGATGTTCCAAAGAACTTACTAAATATATGAGGGAACAGTGTAGCAAGAATGTTACGAGGAGTGGGTATAGGTACAAGTAGTGTGCAAATACAGTGGACCCTTGACCAACGATATTAATCCATTCCAGAGAGCTTGTCGTTAGTCGAATTAATTTTCCCCATGAGAAATAATGGAAATTCAATTAATCCGTTCAAGACACCCAAAAGTATGAAAAATTTTTTTCACATGAAATATACATTCGCCTACACAGAAAAACAAGGATACATGCACAATAAATACTACATGAAGAATAAATGACATACCTTTATTGAAGAGTATTGATAAGTGATGAGACACTGGTTTTTCTTGAACACTGGGATTTTCAGTGATACACGAGTAAAGGCTTCACTTTGCAATCCCCACTAGCATTACATAAAAACATGAGAGTTAGCCTGTCTTTCATAGGCTTGTGTCCTGGGAGTGCCTTTTCCTCCTGAGTAATGTAGGTATTGTTTGGCATTTTCTTCCAGAACAGGCCTGTTTCATTACAATGGAACACTTGTTGAGGGATGAATTTTTCAGCTTCGCCATGCCTCATCACACTGTGTATACCACTACGATTCTTAAATCTCTCACTCTTGCTGGCCTTAAATTCACCAATATGAGCACTAGTTCCAGGCATTTTTTCCTGTTCACCTAGGGGTTAGTCGACTGGTGTGGGTTGCATCCTGGGGACAAGATTAAGGACCCCAATGGAAATAAGTTGGTCCTTGATGATGCACTGACTTTCTTGAGTTATCCTGGGTGGCTAACCCTCTGGGGTTCATTATTTCTCGGTAATTGTTTCTTGTTAAGCCACGCCAACATTTTCTCCACATATTCGAGTAGTACAGCTGACGGTGGTGCAGCAACAGCTGACGGTGGTGCAGCAGCAGCTGACGGTGGTGCAGCAGCAGCTGACTGTGGTATGATAGCATTTTGATGGCATTTCTCACCCTTTTTACCATAGGGTTGGCACTAGAAGCTTTCTTTGGGCCCATGGTGGATTATTTAGCAGTTACAAGCACTAAAAACAATGGAATAATACAAAATTTATCGAATGTATTCGTGCAACCGTCTGCCCTGGCTTGTAAACAGTAGCACACTAGCTGAGCTGGGGCACTCAGGACATGTTCGGGATGAATGTTTGTTAGTAGAGTTTTTCATTGTTGGTTGGGCCAAAATTTTTACGCGAAAACACTTCGTTAGTCAATTTTATCGTTAGATGCCTTCGTTGGTTGAGGATCCACTGTACTGATGTCCATTAATACTAAATTTGCTGATAATAGATACATTAGGTAGGATTAAGGAATATTTTACATAAATTTTTACCAGTTAGGGTTAGTTACCAAGTTTGGAAGCAAAATTTGAAATTTGCATACTGTACTGTAGTTAGTTAATTAATTCACCTAACTTTTACCATAGATCCATAAGGTGAAATTAAAGATTTTTGGAGGGAAGTCATGCTTGTACAATTTTTTTCTGCAGTATTGTGACTACGACAAAGCCATGGAAGGCCTTGGAGCTAAAGGCATTAGTGTTGGTCGTAATGACAGTATTCCTGACAAGTTGAAAGAAGCACAGAAGCTCCATGATGAGGGCTACCCAGTACTTGTCAATGTCTTTATTGGTAAGACCAAATTCAGAGAGGGTAGCTTATCTGTGTAAGTCATGTGAAATATATTTGCCTATTGCACTATGCCCAGTTGTGGATGATTCCTTGTTTCTTGTAGATATGCACTCTGGCTATTGCACAAATTCCATTAAAGGTTAATTATTTACCATGATGCTTTGTTAATTCGATAAATAATTGACATTGATATGTACCCATAAAGATGAAAGCCGTCTGGTAACTACGGTATATAAATTTTTTGTGTGCATTTCTCCATGCCATGCATCCATTTAGTTCTTCAAATTTAGACATGTATGTAGTCTAAAAAATATATACTGTACATAATATATATACTGAGTGGTTGTGTTGGTAAGTAAAGGTAAAATATGATTTTTGATTTTTTTTTTCCAAAGCAAAATATGCCTACTTTGTAAAATTGTTATAGAAAGATGACAAATATTATAAGTTTAAGGACAAAATTTCTCCTGGTGTGTTCCTGTGTGTGCAGGGTTACTACTAGTAAAATGCTTAACCTGAGAGGAATTATTAAAGTTATTACACAGTAAAAGGCTAACTGATACAGTGGAACCTTGATTGTGAAACGGACTAATTGTTGAACAAATTGGTTTTCGAACAAGGAATTCGGTCGTGGTTTTTGTACGTGGTCTTGGTTGTCAACCGACAACGCTCGGGTCACGTGATCACCAGGCAGTCCACAGCATGGGTCTTGTCAGTATAGCGACTAACAAGTGTGCTGGGTATCTTGTGAAGGTTATGAAACCAAAAGTACGAAATTTCACTGAAAACTTGTAGAATTACGCTATCGCAAAGTAGTGTTTTGGTGATATTTATGCATCAGTGATTTTACCCACTTTGAGCCCTATTTTGGACCAATCCATTGTTCCAGTTGACCAAACTCTGTTTCGCTAGAACTGTTTATTCTATCGACTAAGTACAAGAAACTGCCCATTTACCTTTTCAGCTACCCAATAAAGTGATCTGAAATTACTAATTTGGCCAATTTCACACAAAATTTAAGGCCAATTTCAAAATAGGGTCCAGCATAAACAATGCAGACATTCCTGGCAACAAAACACTTTTATCTGTTCATTAGTTACATCTCCAGGCCCCTCTTACACGTATTATGCTCGCTTTTCATTTTGAATTTTTATTCACGCACAAAATGGAAGATTTACTGTTATTCAGACTGCTGCATAATTGTATAAATATCAGTGCATTCATGAATGCATATTAGACCCACCATTTGATGCGTATTGGGTGTGTGATATGATTTGTTTACTCTAACATCGGCAAAAATCAAACATTCACAATTTGAGCTTAATTTTAAAGTCTTTTAGTTTTTTTAAACCATTAAAAGGTCTCTATGTTTTGTAACATCTCTTTTTATCAAATGAGACCAAGAAAACAAGGTCCATAAATCCTAAAAAAAATCACCACAAATTTGCTGTTTAAACCAAAAAACTTGCTTTTTTTCTATTATACATTATGTGCTGCAGATTGTTTTTGTACTGTGCACACTGCCCCGCAGCCCCATTCTCTGCTGTGGGCTACCGGGCTTTCCCCTGCAAGATTTGAAGCCACTAAAATTTTTCCCCTTTGCCCGAAAAGTGGAGGCTTTTAAATTTTTTTTTATTTTTTTTATTATTATTATTATTATTATTTTTAAATCGGCCATCTCCCACGAAGCGGGTGACCCAAAAAGAAAAAATTCCCCAAAAAGAAAATATTTTAAAAACCATTCAAAACTTTCACCTCATACACTAATCACTGTTTTTGCGGGTGCTAAGAAATAAAAACAGTTTAAAAAAAGCAATACGTAAAAGATACACAATTACCCTCCAAACTGCCAATATCCCAAAACCCCCCCCTTTTAAAGTGCGGGTTTGTATTCCCTTTCCAGACTCAAATCTGGTTATAAAAAAAAGGGTTTTCCCCTGAATCCCTTCCAAAATATTACCCTCTGTGAGGCTTACTCACCCCTGTAACAACTTCAGACAGTATTCCCAAGGCGGCTCCCCCTCAGGAAAATTAATGAATAGAAAAAGAAATAAAAAATTCACAAAGATAACTTTTTATTTATTAAAGAAAAACATAAAACAAAAAAAACATGAAAGGTATATCCTATTTGAAAAAGAAAAATGAAAGAAAAAAAAATAACATTTGAACTCAACGCTAATATATATAGGGTGTCGGGTGTTGGTGACATGAGTGTTGGAAATCGTAGCAGTTGTGATGAGGGGGGGGGGGGGGGGTCGCAGGTTTGGTTAAAAACCAGGTTCTTCTTACAGTATGCCGTGGATTCTTCCGTGCGGGAAAGAGGTTCTTTACTGCTGCAATGTGAGGGGTTGCGTCCTGAAATTTTCATACAGGTGCAAGGTAATTAAACCCCAAAAAAGGGGAAGTTCAGGAGTTGTCCATCTCCATAAAATTTACTGTTGACGGCAGGTCCCCTTCTCGCTCCAAGCTGGAAAGTTGCAGGTTACCCACTGCTTAAAAAAATCACTCTCCATTAAGTACAAACCTAAAAGTGTGGTGTCATTAAAGGTCAACCTGAGCAAGATGAAAGCTAAGTTTATTATTGGTCAAAAGTGAAGCTTTCAACCAAAAAACCCACTAGAATACAAGGCGGGCATGTACTTACGGTAGTGCGGGGCGGAGTCTAGTGATTATGTTTGGACGGAGCCCCACACGTCCCCTTTGGGGGGGGGGGGAGGGGGGGAAAGGGATAGGGAGCTAGATGACCCTACCTTAACAAGCAGCCAGCAATCAAACTATCACTTTAGGGGGGGGGGAAAAAAGGCAGGAATAGTGGGAGCCATACTTACCTTACCTTAACAAGAGCGGCAAGCAAACTACCCCTTTCGGGGGGGGGGGGAAAAAGGGGGGGGGGGAATAGGGGAGCTGGACTTGCCCTCCTTTAAAAAAGTACCCGGTAATGAAACTATTACTGTATCGCTACTCCTATTATTGAACTTTTCCCTCACCCCCCCATACAAGATTTATAGTCAAGGAGTATAAGAAAATAGGGGGGAAAAAAGTTCAAACATGTGGAAGTCGCTTTAAGGCAACAAATCTTTATGACTGTCACGAAAAACCATCAGAGAAATAATTGGAAAAACCCATTGATATACACAATAGGGAACAAAAGCCTGGGTGCCAATGCCCACCTCAAGAGGCGACTTTTGGGTTTTCCCTTAAAAGTTTCTAGGTTTTAAAAGGTTTGTGGCCCGTTTCTAAAAAAAATTCTTTTCCCAGCAAAAAAAAAATTTAATTTTGGAGAAACCCCACAAAAGGGGCCAAAAAATTCTTTTCTATGGTGGAGTATTCTTTTTCTGCGGGAAGGAGTTTCGGCTTGGGAAGCATACGGGGAAGGGGGGTCCCATCATGGTTTTGTAGTAGACCGCACCTAAGCCCAGTATTGGAGGCTCAGTCTTAAACAAAATTTTTATTATATCGGGATTTTGAGTATAGGGTTTTTTCGAAAAGTATTTTTAAATCTCATTAAATTTTTCCCCGAGTAGTCGGAAAGTTCAAGAGGTTCCTTCAACTTTTTAAGGAAGTCGGATAAGTGCTGAAAGATCAGTAAGGTTGGGAAAAAAACCTGCTAAAAATTTACAGAACCAAAGAAAGTACGCATGAGTTTTTGGGTTTTGAGGAATTTAATTCTAATAAAGCTTTTATCTTACTGGGTAGAGGTGAGAGGTTATTAAAAAGTATCAGTCCAAGTACTAATCGTTATACTGAGGAAGCTTTTTTTCGGTTGGCATTTGGGCCATGTGAGCGTAACCACCAAAACTGATGTTGGTTTGGATTGTTCCCCCCCCGGGATGCATTATGTAATGTTAAAAAAATAAACTAAAACATTTGGGTATTCCCCAAGCCTTTTTCTCATCAGTCTCACGTGGTAGACAGGCATTTAAAAAAACCGAAGGGCATAGTTCTTTTTTCTGCATCAGTCCTTGGTTTTAGGAAAAAAGGGGTTTTTGTACTGCTTAGAAGAAGGATCTAACATTATTTGATGATATGCCTGCGAAATGTCAATCTCGAAAAAAAGGGAAGCGTCATAAAATGTGTAGATCCTATTATTAAGGGCATAGGTCAGCTCCCACCGAGTTTTGCTTTAAAGGGCCCTCTGAAGTCAATAGCAAGTCTATAGAATATCCCTTTTAATAGGGACTATGGGAGAAATATGCAGTTAAAGGTTTAATGATCTTTGTTTTAATAATCTGTCTACCCTCGGTAAAAGATTTTAAGGTGAATGGAACTGGGTTAATTTTGTTTGATGGTTTGTCTGTCACTAAGTCAATTTTGACTACCTGGAGGAAAGCCGGGAAAATTTAGTAAAGAGTCTGAAAATTTATCACACATTGAAGTAGTTATTTCTTTTATGGTCTCAAGATTCATTAATGTTAATTTTGGGTTTGCGCCAGAGGGTCAAGTCACCAAGTCATTAGTTCTTATCATATTTAAAGTTAGAGGTTCAAATTACCCACCTTACATTCTTCAGTTGTCGTATCAGTTGTGTGGAAAAAAAAAAGTAAAAGTTATTAAGGCATTTAACCGAATTTTTTCGGTAATTTTCTTAAGGAGTTGATTTTATAAAGCTTGGGTTTTCCCCCTTGACTTCTATGAGGTAGTAAACTTTCCCAAAATTTTTAAATACTTTATTTGGCCCTTTTCCATGCTATAAAATTTATTTGACTTGATAGGAAAAAAGTACAAGAACTTACCCCTACTTTAAAACTTTTTGATTTTTGGGAATCAAATGGGTTTTTGTACTGGTCTTTTGACAGTTTGGGGTTTTTCAAAAAATTTGTCGATTTCTCCTCAATTTTGGATCTAAGGTCAAGGAAAAAAACTGGTAAGAAGATAAACCCTCAGCATTGTCCTTAGCCCAAAAGTATGAAGGATGGACAGGGGGCCCGGCCCTGTCTCCCATAGGAAGTTCAAAAGGTGAAAACCCCAAAGAGCACGGGGAACTTCCTCATGGCAAAAAAGCACAGGGTAGGTAACGATGCCACTCCTTAGGTTTAAGGGAGCAAAGTTTCCTTAAAATGGATTTTGGAAAATCGAAGTGGTTCAACCCTCCCTTACGTGGGTTTGATAGGGTGTGGTGAAGGGGTTTTCACCCCGAATTGGGTATAGATTT